TCTGTGCTCAGTGCAGACTTTGCTTGGGATTCTCTCTCCCTCTCCTTCTGCCCCTCCCTCTCATGCTTTCTCTCTCTAGATAAATAAATAAATTTTTAAAAAAGATAAACAATATATGGGTCATAAGACAACTTGCACCAAATTTAAAGGGACAAAGGTAATACTGAATATATTCTCTGATGTCAACAAAATTAAATTAGAAATCAGTAACAAAGGATACTGGGACAGTTTCAAAATGATTTATAAACTAAACACCCATTTCTAAATAATCTTGAGTCAAAGAAATCCCAAGGGAAATTAGGCAACATTTTTAGTTAAGTGGTAATGAAAATGTAATATACAAAAATTTCTGAAATATAGCTAAAGCAGTGCTTAGAGGAAAATTTACGGCTTTAATGCTTAAAAATCGGTGAATTTAATTAAGTTCCTCTTTAAGTTTCTTCTTTAAGAAGAAGAGAAAAATTAAACCCAAAAGAAGTAGAAATCAATGATATAGAAAATGGACAGACAATAGAGGAAAACAATGAAATAATAAGTTGGTTCTTTGAAAAGATCAACAAAATTAATAAGCCTGTAGCTAGCTTGATATGATAAGAAAGAGAGAAAGAAAAACAAAGGAAAAGAAAATGCAAATTACCAACATCAGTAACAAAATGGGTAGATCACTACATATCTCCAAGACATTTAAAAATAAGGAAATACTGTTTTTCAAAACTTTTATCAGTAAATTGGACAACTTAGATAAAATGGATTATTAATTCCTTGAAATAAATGAATTATCTATATGTATTAAAAATTAATTCATAATTTAAAATGTTCCCAGAAAGAAAGCTCCATGCCCAAATACCTTCAATCATGTATTCTATCAAACATTTAAGAAATAATACCCATCTAGGGCAGCCTGGGTGGCTCAGCAGTTTAGCGCCACCTTCAGCCCAGGGCCTGATCCTGGGGCCCCAGGACTGAGTCCCATGTCAGGCTCACTGCATAGAGCCTGCTTCTCCCTCTGCCTGTGTCTCTGCCTCTCTCTCTCTCTATCTCATGAATAAATAAATAAAATATTTTAAAAAGTTAAAAAAAAGAAATAATACCCATCTTATACAAAATTTTCAAAACAGTGAAGAAATATTTGCTAACTCATTTAATAAGGATTGCATGATGCAAAGACCAAAGACATCAAACACCAATGTCTCTAATGAACAACACCACCAAAATCCCTAAGTATCAGCCAATACAATTTAGCAGTATTTAAGAAGGATAATACATCATAACCATTTTAAGATTTAAAACAGGAATGCAGTTTAGCTTAATATTTAAAATACAAATTGGTGGTTCATCATATTACCAAAATAAAGAGAAAAATCATATCATCTTAATAGATGCTGAAAAGCATTTGACAAGATGAAGCACCCATTCATGATGAAAAACTTATGCAAACTACAGAAGACACTTTCCTCAACCTGATAAAGGGCATCTATGAACAGCCTATAGCTAACAACACATATAACAGTGACAAGCTGTATGCTTCCCCCCGAAGACTGGGAACAAGGCAAAGATGTGTCCAGTGTAATTACTTCTAATTCATTGTTGTATTAGAAATCCTAGTCCAGCGCAGTTTAATAAGAAAAAATAAAATAAATAAAAAGCATATAAGATTAGAAAGGAAGAAACAAAAGTGAATTAATTGTATATATAGACAATCCTAACAAATCCACAAAAAATGAACTTGTAGAACTGATAAGGGAATTGTGAAGGTCATATGATACAAGTTCAAAAGTAAAACGTCAGTTGGATGTCTTCATACCAGCAACAAAAAATAGGAAAATGAAATTTTAAAAATTCCATTTACAATAGCATAAAAAACAAAACTTCTTAGGGCTAAAGTTAGCAAAGTATGTGCAAGACCAATACTCTGAAAGCTATAAAACACTGCTAAGATAGATTAAGGACGATATAAATCAATGGAGATAAAAGTTATGGATTAGATGAGTCGACACACTGTCACACTGTAAAGATGTCTGCTATCTTCAAACTGATCTGTAGATTCCCAAACCCAATCAAAGACCCAGTGGACTTCCTTGTAGAAATGGGCAAACTGGTTACAAAACTGATATGGAAATGCAATGGCCCTGTAATAACCAAAACAATTATGACGATAAACACAGTGGGAAGACTTGCACTATGTGATTTCCAGACTCTGACTGGAAAAATGTGGTATTAGCATAAGAATAAACATACAGAAGAATGGAAAACAACTGGCTCCAGAAATGCATAGTCAACTGGTTTTCAACAAAGTTGCTAAGGCAATTAATTCAACGAGGGAAATAACCATTGTTACAACAGAAGGCACTAGAACAATTGAATATCCCTATGGAAGAAAGGAAACTTCAGCACTGATCCATACACAGAAACTATATTGAAATGAATCCTAAACCTAAATGTAAACTAAAACTAAAACTCCTAAAAAAAAAACAAAGTAGAAAATCTTCACCACATTTAATCGGGCAAAGATGCCTTGGGTATCACACAAAACAAACTAAGGAGAAAGAAGGAAATATAGAAGGAGGAGAATATTCACAATACACATACAAAAGACTTGTACACAGAATATATAAAGAACCTAAACTTAAAAACAAAATGCCCATAGAAATGAGCAAAAATTTGAATGTACATGTAACAAAAGAAGATACTCGAATGGCCAAAAAGCATATGAGAAGATGCTCAACATCTGGTCATCAGGGAGGTATAAATTAAAACCATGAAGAGATACGACTACACATCTCCCAGAATGTCTAACATTCAAAAGGCTAATAATACCAGGGACTGGCAATGATGTGGAACACGCAGAACTCTCATACACTGCTGGTGAGGGCGTACAACCACTTTGGAAAACAGTTCGGCAAGTTCTTATAGGTTAAACATAATACATATACTATATGATCCAGAAATTTCACTTGTAGGTATTACCCAAGAGAAACAAAAACATATAACCACAAAATGACTTGCATGTGACCAGTCATGGCAGTCTTTTTCATAAAATCTCCAAACTGGAGATGGCTCAAGTGTCTAACCATTGGTGAATGGATAAGCAAATTATTACAATGGAATGCTACTCACCAATAAAAATACAAATGGCTGATAAATACAACAAACATGGATGAATCTCAAAAATATAATTCTGAAAGAAAAGCAAAAACTCAAAAAGTGTATTACATATATTGTATATATTAATATACATATGTATGTATTTATATATATATATATATATATATATATATATATATATGATTCTACTTGTACGAATTCCTTGAACAGGCACAACAAATCTATGAGAATGCAGATTAGCGGTTGCTGGGGATGGGGAAGTTGAGGGGATAGACTACAAGGAGACACAGAGGAACTAGGAGTTGATGGAAAAGTTCTTACATACCTGACTTTGAAGGCACAGTTGGTAGGTATCTCATTTAAATCCACAAAATCGATAGATACAGAGTTGTAGAAATTGACAGAAAGATACTCCACACTGGGACAAGGATGTGAGCAGAGCCACAGAAGTGGGAAGTTGAGGGGTGAGTATGGGGAGCAGCTGAGAGTTTATTTTCTAAAATTAACTTTATTGAATCATAACTTGCCTGGGATAAAATGCATTCATTTTAGGCTAATAAGGGATGAATTTTAAAAATGTATAAACCCATGTGATGACCATCCCATAGAGACTTTCCTTTTAAAAATTACCACTTCAAGCTTTTTTGTGCTTAATAAATCATAATTTTATTACAAGTTTCATCATTTAATATTAAAACCAAAACAACACACAGGCAGTAACACAGATTACAAAAAGCATAGGCCTTGGGACACTTGAGTGGCTCAGTCGGTTAAATGTCTGCCTGCAGCTCAGGTCATGATCCTAGGTTCCTGGGATGGAGCCCCATGTCATGTTCTCTGCTCACGGGGAAGCCTGCTTCTTCCTCTCTGTCTCCCCCTACTCATGTTCTCTCTTTGTCTCTGTCCCTGTCTCTCTTAAATAAATAAATAAATAAATAAATAAATAAATAAATAAATAAATAAATAAATAAAATCTTAAGGTTAAAAAAAGCACAGGCCTTGAAATCAGGTTTAAATTCCACTTCTCCAGCAGGTCACCTTGCTTATCAAAGTCTGTTTTTACATTCACAAAATGGGATTAATAATACAACCAACTTGACAAGATCGCTATGAGCATTGAAAGAAATAATGTTAAGCTCCTGGCACAATGCTTGAAACACAGCAGCAGCAATAAATGGGATTAGCCTTATCACAATAAGATGGGCATTTGTGCATTTGTACAGTTACCCTCAGAGGTATGGTATGGACCACAGAACCCAGTGGCCAAGGCTTTGAAAGGGCCCTAAACGAGAAACGGCAATCCTGTATTCAGCTTCCCCACTGGTACTGTTTCACAGTGTTGAGAAGGCTCCAAAGTATTTCATGCTCCGTTTGCCTTGATATGGAGTGCATGATTTGAAAATTGATTCTGGAATAAATTTAAAGCAGGGCACTTTAAAGGTTCCCACAGGGTATGAGCCCTACTCTCCCTAGCCTTGAAACAGAGTCTGACCTCCCACATTTCACACCACTGGATGCTGGGGAGACCACACCCTAGATTCACCCAAACCCTCTCAACCTGCTTATGGGCTCAACCACCTGCTGCAGCTCTGTCTGCCTGGCTTTTCAAACACTGACTCCATGACCCCACTCCCGATATCAGCCTCAGGCCAGTCTCCTCAAGTCAAAACACACTTCTTCAGTTTACCTACTTGTCACCCTACCTACTCACCTGCTACAAGCTCCTTGATCGCTGCTGACACCCATTGTGTACCACTGGACACTCCCCTGACTAGCAGCTTCCTGGGGACCCTCCCTTCTCCCCGCAGCTCCCAGCACACAGGACCCAGGACCCAGCTCCCAGGACATGGGTTGCAAGCATAATTCAAGGGTCACGGGGAGGGAGTGCCATCTACCTGAGCAACAAAGAGCTGGAACTCGTCAGGCAGAATCCATGAGCGAGGATAGAAGTTGTACTCCTCAGGAAAGAGATTCTGCATGATTCTCACGGCTCTGCTCAGAGTAATTTTACGCACCATCTCCGTCATGCCTGGGGAGAAGAGAAGCTGTGAGGTTTGAACAGCAGTGGGCCACTAGCTATAAAACAGCCATGATCGAGGACCTTTAAAACCACCCACCTGACATATTCACTTTTGCAGACAGGATTTAAAAAGGTATGAGCAGTTCCGCACAGCGGCGACTCATGGTTTGGAAAGACCTACCAAATTAATGAAAAACTTGAGGTAATACAGGATAGTTTTTTCTCCTTATAAAAATGAAGCATCAATATAAAGGAATGGGTTTCCACCTAGTTTATTTATTCCATTCTTTGTCAGTCCCCTAGATAATGGATAAAGAGAAGCATTCATATTGTGCACTTAATATCCTCCTTAATTTTGGGCTACCACACATATTTCTGGGACTACTTTCAACTTATATTCTCAAGAATACCACTTAGTGGACTCTGCTTATATTACAAGCTTAATTAAGTTGCTGTGTTTTCATTGTTCACAAGTATTCAAGGTATAAAATAAAAAAATATACAGCTTTCAGCATAAAATCTGTCTCCTTGAAATAAGGACAGAAAGTAGAAAGGATATCAGAGCACAATTTATAGTTTAGGGGGAGAAAACGGAAGCTGTAGACGTTCTTCAGTTTTAAATACTGACGCTAACATTGATCAGATCCCATTACTTTGCCCAGAGGATATTAATATGTCTCACTTATAAAATATTTTAAAAGAATGGTGGATTTTTTTTCTTGTAACACATTTAGGAACTCTGATAGGAAAAGAAACTGAGTGTACACCTTAGCAAATTTTAAGCAAATAGGCAAAAATTATTTTTAAGTTTTATAGCATGCTTGTCTCTAAGGACAAATATCACCACTGAAAGTGGAGACTAGAAACAGCCTTTACCCTGAAAAAGCCAACACGGTTCCATCACTGACACTAGGAATTGGCTTAGCGAAGTTATTTTTAATAGAAAGCACAAACTTTCATGTCAGCTTGGATGTCCAAATTATCACCCATTCCAAATGGGCACAATCAGAATGAATGAGATTTCTCTAAATTCCCATGTTCAGGAAACGGAAGGTGAATATTTGAGAACGAAGGTTTTAATAACCAATTTCTTGCTTCCCTCAGCAAATTAAAAAGAACAATAAATCTGAAGGTCGCAGATTCAAGATTTCAATGCCCAGCTTCTTAGTTTTTGTTTAGAAGGATAGAGAGAAGGATTAAATACAAAATATGGGAGCTTGAAAAGCACTAATCAGCTGTGCTCTGGCGTGAACTCTTCAACATTAAAGAAAACTCACTGAGGACATTGTTCTGAGTTTCCCAAGAAACAAGTATGAGCCCAGAAAATTATAGCTGTTTCCTTTTAGTCCCCTCCGAAATTATAATTTTTGAGTTATAAACACTGGAGGTAAACACCAAGTGCACAAAATAAAAATTTCAACTTTTTTTGAAGCTTTGTCCTTTTCGTTGACAAGACTTTGTTATCGTACTAGACTAAAATCCATTTAACTTGCCATAATGTGCACCGTACACCCAGTAGGGGAAGCCTCCTGACCAGGGTTGTGGCACTTTCTGCCCTTTAATGGCCTTGTGACTGAGGAAGGTTCTCTTTCAGAAGCCCCCAGCGGGTCAGACAGACTCACACAACACAGGCAGAAGTGCTACAAGTATACAAGTGCAGTTTGAATGCCCCAGAAAAGTTTTTGTAAACATCAATGTCCAGCGGCGCGTGGGTGGCTCAGTTGGTTAAGCATCTGACTCTTGATTTGGGCTCAGGTCACGATCTTGGGATCATAGGATTGAGCCACAAGTTGGGCTCTGCAGTGGGTGTGGAGCCTGCTTCAGATTCTCTCTCTCCCTCTGCCCCTCCCCTGTGCTCTGTCTCCCTCTCAAAAAAAACAAAACAAAAAACAATGTCTAGCAAAATGAGTACATAGTCACTTGAAACCTGCGATGGCTCCTTCTGTAATGTGGATCATAAGTCCCCAGACCAGCTGATAGACCTGCCCCCAGGTCTGCCTCTGTGCCAGTTTCCAGGTAGTTCTCTCCTGAAAGCAGCCAACTCTGGAAGCACCCTACAATCCAGTGGCTGCTCTTCCCAGACAGTTCCAACCCACTGGCTACAAGTGATTCACCCCTCCCCTGTCTAAATGCCTGTCTCCATGGGGCACCAGTATAGACCTCCCTCTATCCACTTACCACCAAAACTTTTGTTCCTCCACCATATCTAAGCTGCCAGGAAAGCATCTTTGACCCTTCCCTTTACCCCATGTGGAAACTGCTGGCATCTGCGCTCTGGTGATGGCTCAGAGGCAGATGTGAGGAGTGTCCTCTTCTCTCAGTAAGATGCTGACAAAAGTCGCTGGGTTTCTAGCTGGGCCAGAGCACATGTTCTCAGAGCAAATATGTGCCAGGCTCCGCTGGCTCTAGACTTTACCTCCCTTCTCCAAGCAACTGGAGCACCTGACCCCTCCCTGTGACCCTGGTCCTAGGCGCTGGGACACACTCGGATCTGAGGTGGAAGCTATAAGCCTATCAGCTCCCCACTGACACTGGGAACAAGGCAATCTTTGACCTTGACTTTGTAGATAAGGAGGGCTTCAGCTGTCTTTGGAGGCTTTCTGATTGCTTTGTCGCTGGATTTTGGTAACCCATCTTTTGCTCCTGGTGCCTGGGTGGCTGCCTTAGCAATGCCTTTGCTCTTTTCCTGCCAGTGATCCTCCTCTCTTCCACTGAAGATGATCCAGCAAGCACTGGGTCCTCCTGCTTGTGACCTGAGGCCGGTGCCTGTCCTCCTGCTGCCTACTTACAGGCTCTTTAGAGGCTCACTGCCTACCTGAGTTTCTCAACAAAGTCTGTCTCCAGATGTCCCTGTGGTGGGAAGACACCCTAACTCGGGCTGGAGCTTCCCACACCAGGGACTTGACTCCTGCCACTACTGGCCTGGATTCTTCTCTCTGCTACACACTGGAGTCTCAAGGCCTGGTAGGTCTCATCTGTGAAGCTACGCAAGAGTGTGTAATAGTCTAATCCTCAGGCTTGCCCATACAGACCTACATAACCCAATTTTTAAAAAAACAAAAACAAAATCTGAGCTATGTCACAAGTACTATTCAATCCAAATATCACTGACAATAATTCTTGGCAAAAACACCAACAACAAATACAGCTCCCAACAAATCAATACTTCCAGATCCACCCTCTTCTCTCTGTTCCCTGCACCACTGATGAGTTCATCTTTTGCCTGGATCCTGCAGTGGCCGCTTAGCTCTACCTCTGTTTTCTGGCTCAGCCCTTCCACCCACTCCCAATCATCCCTCTGGCTGGCCTTTCTAAAATGCAAGCTGGCCCACGCCACTCTCTGGCCTAACAATTTCTCAGTGGCTCCTCATGACTTTCAGACTATAAGGATGCTATCCTTTGGTCCCTGCTTATCACCTATCCACAGCCCCTCTCATACTTGACCCTTTCTGACCATCATTAGCCACTTGTCCTTCGCTGAATGAGCAGCTTGCTCTATACATCCTATGTCTTTGCATCAACTCTGCTCCTACGTTTTGTAGGGAAGTCAGGCCCATCCAGTCCCAGAGGCTCAGTTCACATGTTGATTCTCTTCTCCTGGGTCTCTTGTCCTGTCTGTCCCCCAAGCAGATATAGATTAGGTCATGTGCCCTCATTCCAAACCCCCATGGCACCCCAGTCTGGCACTTATTTTGTATTTGACTTCTCTCCCTACATGCTTTTCTCCTTGTCTTTGTATCCCTGGCAGTGCCCAGTACTTGATAGCAAGCTGGCCCCAGAGCTTCCCCACAGAGCCCTCTCCTTCTCTGCCAGAAAGTCCCCTCCCAGGGGTGGACTCTCAAGCAACCCCTGCCATGTGCAGCCATACATCTCAGGCCCTGAAACTTAGCAAAAAATTGTTGCTTGTAGGCTGAGAGTTGACAGTTTGGAACTTTCTTAAAGCAAAGACATATCTAAATCAGATTTTTTTAAATAGAAAGTCTTAATTCGATGGAATCTTGTCTCACATTTAGATCTTTCATCCATTTTGACTTTATCTTTGTGTATGGTGCAAGAGAGTGGTCTAGTTTCATTCTTCTGCATATGGATGTCCAATTTTCCCAGCACCATCTATTGAAGAGACTGTCTTTCTTCCAGTGGATCGTCTTTCCTCCTTTATCGAATATTAGTTGACCATAAAGTTCAGGGTCCACTTCTGGGTTCTCTATCTGTTCCATTGATCTATGTGTCTGTTTTTGTGCCAGTACCACACTGTCTTGATGACCACAGCTTTGTAGTACAACCTGAAATCTGGCATTGTGATGCCCCCAGCTATGGTTTTCTTTTTAAAAATTCCCCTGGCTATTTGGGGTCTTTTCTGATTCCACACAAATCTTAAAATAATTTGTTCTAACTCTCTGAAGAAAGTCCATGGTATTTTGATAGGGATTGCATTAAACGTGTAAATTGCCCTGGGTAACATTGACATTTTCACAATATTAATTCTGCCAATCCATGGGCATGGAATATTTTTCCATCTCTTTGTGTCTTCGTCAATTTCTTTCAGAAGTGTTCTATAGTTTTTAGGGTATAGATCCTTTACCTCTTTGGTTAGGTTTATTCCTAGGTATCTTATGCTTTTGGGTGCAATTGTAAATGGGATTGACTCCTTAATTTCTCTTTCTTCAGTCTCATTGTTAGTGTATAGAAATGCCATTGATTTCTGGGCATTGATTTTGTATCCTGCCACGCTACCAGATTGCTATATGAGTTCTAGCAATCTTGGGGTGGAGGCTTTTGGGTTTTCTATGTAGAGTATCATGTCATCGGCGAAGAGGGAGAGTTTGACTTCTTCTTTGCCAATTTGAATGCCTTTAATGTCTTTTTGTTGTCTGATTGCTGAGGCTAGGACTTCCAGTACTATGTTGAATAGCAGTGGTGAGAGTGGACATCCTAGAGGAGAACACAGGCAACACCCTTTTTGAACTCGGCCACAGTAACTTCTTGCAAGATACATCCATGAAGGCAAAAGAAACAAAAGCAAAAATGAACTATTGGGACTTCATCAAGATAAGAAGCTTTTGCACAGCAAAGGATACAGTCAACAAAACTAAAAGACAACCTACAGAATGGGAGAAGATATTTGCAAATGACGTATCAGATAAAGGACTAGTTTCCAAGATCTATAAAGAACTCATTAAACTCAACACCAAAGAAACAAACAATCCAATCACGAAATGGGCAAAAGACAGAACAAAAATCTCACCGAGGAAGACATAGACATGGCCAACATGCACATGAGAAAATGCTCCGCATCCCTTGCCATCAGGGAAATACAAATCAAAACCACAATGAGATACCACCTCACACCAGTGAGAATGGAGAAAATTAACAAGGCAGGAAACAACAAATGTTGGAAAGGATGTGGAGAAAACGGAACCCCCTTACACTGTTGGTGGGAATGTGAACTGGTGCAGCCACTCTGGAAAACTATGTGGAGGTTCCTCAAAGAGTTAAAAATAGACCTGCCCTACGACCCAGCAATTGCACTGTTGGGGATTTACCCCAAAGATACAGATGCAATGAAATGCTGGGACACCTGCACCCCGAAGTTTCTAGCAGCCATGTCCACAATAGCCAAACTGTGGAAGGAGCCTCGGTGTCCATCGAAAGATGAATGGATAAAGAAGATGTGGTTTATGTATACAATGGAATATTCCTCAGCCATTAGGAACGACAAATACCCACCATTTGCTTCAACATGAATGGAACTGGAGGGTATTGTGCTGAGTGAAGTAAGTCAATCGGAGAAGGACAAACAGTGTATGTTCTCATTCATTTGGGGAATATGAATAATAGTGAAAGGGAATATAAGGGAAGGGAGAAGAAACGGGTAGGAAATATCAGAAAGGGAGACAGAACATGAAGACTCCTAACTCTGGGAAATGAACTAGGGGTGGTGGAAGGGGAGGAGGGTGGGGGGTGGGGGTGAGTGGGTGACGGGCACTGAGGGGGGCACTTGATGGGATGAGCACTGGGTGTTATTCTGTATGTTGATAAATTGAAAACCAATACAAAATAAATTTATTATTAAAAAAAGAAAGTCTTAATTCATCATGTGAAGACATAATAACATATCTTGGAGGACCTCGCTCATAGAGAAGTGGCTAAAATCAATGTGCTGACCCAAACAAAATAAATCGCTTCCATATGCATCTTCAAAAGTTTTCCGTTTATTCAGCAGGTGACACATTTACAGTTGCCTGCCACATCCCGTAGAACTTATTCTACATACAAGATGCACTGTTAGAATAACAGGATGCAGGAGAAACAGAAGATGAGCCTGGACCCAAACTAAAGCCAAAGGACAGATCCTTCTGGAATCACTTCACTGCTGTCTTCCACAGGGAGAGGGCGTAGCCACACCGCCTCTCTGCCTAGAGGTTCGAGAGCCTGCTTTGTCATTAGAACTAATTAATTGCTGTTGGTAAAGTGGAAAATTATATGTTCCAGTCACTGGCACGTGGAATAGGGGATAGAGCGAACTTGCTTCTTTAGAAAGAATATTCTTATATCACCTTTAATGAAACTAGTCCTTTGAGGGTATTTCTCTCTAATTTGTGTTCCAAAAGGAGAGCCATAGCTAGGACTTCTTTCCTACTCTCAGTCATGAGATGAGGCCCGAGCAAAGAGGGGAAAATGTAAATGAAGCCTCATTTGAGGATTCATGTCTTAGGAACTCTGTTCTCCTTCAAAGAATTGTTCTCTTCCAAATCACATTCTCCCAGTGTCCTACTAAATCCTTCGAGTGGCATCAAAAAGCCACCTTTTATGAGCAGCAAGACAGCAAATGATAGCTATCCCTCTTAAACTGTGTGCAAGAATCCTGGTTACCAGAATCCTTCTCGTTCGCTTCCCCTTCTCTAGAGGTGGGTTAATTTTCTAGCTCTGTTCCCTGGGAAATCAATAAAGGTAGAAAGTTAGCTGTGTTACTAGACAACAAAGCATATGGTTAAAATGATCCCTGATCAGCAAATTGCATAAATATCTAGTAGGGTGCTGTAGCTCCAGGCTTTCCTCACGTAGCAATTCTTGTAATTTAGCCTGACCCTGCTGGGGACCCTGGAAACTCTGCTTAGGAGGAGCTCCAGGAGATAGGGCTCTTAAAGTGGTGTTTAAGCCAAGATGGATCCACATCCACCAATGCAGGTCTTGTCTCCTTACACCTGACCTTTCACTTGAGGGGTGAGACTAGGCTCTGGCACCCTTGCAAAGACACCACTAGAGAGAAATGCCTAATGCTGACTGGCTGGCAAGCTGTGTTTCTTGCCCTTTATCTTTTTGAGTGAATTTGAGCCTAATAAGGCCCATGGTAGTCTGCACACTGAATTAAAACCCCCTAGTGGATATGGTATAAATCGCCACTATATAGTGTATGGCTACTGGGTTTTCTGAGAGTTGTTTTCTTAAAGACACGGCACAGAATGCTAAGGAAAAAGAGGAATTTTTTTTGTTTAAGTAAACTCTACACCCACTGTGGGGCTCAAACTCCTAACCCTGAGATCAAGAGTCACATGCTTTCCCAACTGAGCCATCAGGCACCCCAGAAAAAGGGTAAATTGATTCTCCTTTTAAAAATCAACATAAATGGGATCCCTGGGTGGCGCAGCGGTTTGGCGCCTGCCTTTGGCCCAGGGCGCGATCCTGGAGACCCGGGATCGAATCCCACGTTGGGCTCCCAGTGCATGGAGCCTGCTTCTCCCTCTGCCTATGTCTCTGCGCCTCTCTCTCTCTCTCTCTCTCTCTCTCTGTGACTATCATAAATAAATAAAAAAAAATTTTAAAAAAAATCAACATAAATGATATCATGCTAGGAGAAAACACCTTGTATTCAGGCAACCGCTTTCTGACTGAAGCATGTAAAAATGATATAAAAATATGGTTAAGGTTTGGGAGGAAATACAGAAATATTTACCTTGTCGTTTTGTTAAATGAGGGATGGGATTCAGGGTGATGCTCTTTTATAGAACTAATTTACTATTGTATTATAATATGGTTGTGCATATTAGGTTAAAATTTCTGAATATAAGAGAGAGACACTTTGGCTGCAATCACTCCCCACCCCCCACCCCACCCCTAACCCCTGCTTAACTAAATGTTCCTTCCTTGCTGAGCACACTCACTCACCCTAACCACCCTCCTCACTCAGCCATTAAAAATAATGAGTATCAATCAATAGCAGAAGAGGGTGGCAGAGATTAAAAATAAAATGGAAAGGCATACGGGGAGGCTGGGAATGGAGTGAGAGGGTGTCTTCAAAGTGTTGGCTCTAACACTTTCTCAGCACTTGTCCTCCTTATAGGAGAACATCACTGGGACAAGGTCCCTAGGTAAACAGTAAGCACTGGCTCAACCTGTCATTCCCAACACGGAGACTGCTATATTTGGTTTTAAAAATGGCACCTCCAATTATGATACTTAAAGGAAACAGAAGCTTCTAATCCATTTTTGTGGCATATTCCTAGAATTCTAGTACTTCTGTTTCGTGCAAGTAATTTAAGTGAAGTGGTCTATTTTTTTCCCCCTATTTTGAGAACATAGTCTCCTAATTACACCCTTGTATTATAATGCAGAAGGTGAAGGTCATGTTCTTCCACTGGTCAAATTAGTCCAGGAAAGCCTTTCTTTTTATTTTTGAACCTCCAGTCTTTAAACCATTGGTGGGTCAAATCCTGATGACCTCTGCATTAGCTCCCCTCCCAAGATAAGGGCACTGTGGCTGTGCAGGCAGCAAGTCCCAAGAGTCCTTGAGTCTGAGCTCAAAATGCTGTCATGTTTTTGTAGAACAGGGCACCCTGATGCTCAGCCTAAAAACATTTTTCGATGCCAACAATAACAGCAGATACCTGGAAACTTGTTCACTTGGCCAGAGAATATGTCATTGTCGTGAAATGAAACTCCATGCCAGTAGATGTCACAAGGCAAGCGTCGGCCAAATGGGAACTAGAAGACAGAGGGAAAAAAAACTGTGACTATTAACAAAAACTAGAGGAGCAGCACCATCCTGGGTTCTATTACATATATATTCCCAGAGACTTGGTGCATGTCACATGATTTAATCCTTACAATAAGCATGTGAGGTAGATGATATCCTTTCCCATTTTATAGGTGAAGAAATCATTTCAGAAAGGTTATGGAGCTTGCTCAAGATCACAACCAGTGAGGGGTGGAGTTCTCACTCTGTGTGGCAGGCACTATACTCATGGCTTCACACATATTCTTTCATTTCAATTCTCATAATTACCCTAGAAAGAATCATTCCCATTTTACAGGGGAGAAAATTGGGGCTGAGAAAGGTATGTAATATGCCCAAAGTAACACAGAACTGGTAAGGAGAGGAATCAGGATTTGAATCCAAGTCTATTTGAATCCCAAACCATGCTTTTCTTTCTCTGAAAATTGCAACTCTCAAGTCAGTCCCCCCAAAAATGAGCTCACACTCTCTCACTCATGCTCTCTTGTTCTCTCTCCCGCCTCTCTCTCTCTAACACACACACACACACACACACACACACACACACACACACATCTTCACACACGTCTGTGAAGGCAGAATGGATCCCCCAGTGTCTCCTGGCATTCGATAAAGACTTTGCGGATGAATGAATGAACAAACCAGGAATGGTCATCTGATTCAAGGTGAGATGACCAGATTCTCTCTTCCAGGAATTTGGAAATCTAAAATGCCAGGAAGCTTCTGCTGGCCTTTGACCTGGAAATGATAAAAAGCCAGAGCCGGGCAGATGTGCTTGGCTGTAAGCACAGAGAGTAAAGGCAGCCCTGCTGCTGAGAGAGAAGGAAGAAGCAGGTTCAGAGAGAAAAGTGAAGGTGAGACCATGTGGCCCTGGTGACAGGCTGAGTGACCTTCGTTCCTAGGGCTTCTAAGTCCTAGGTCCAGACCCTCCTGAGCCTGGCTGTCCCTCCTCTCCTTGGATCCAGTAAAACAGCCTTGTATTCTTAGAATATATCCTCTCTTTGCACACATTATAGAATTTCTTTATTAGTAGCCAGAAAATCCCTTGGTGAGACAGAAAGGCCTGCTCTTTCTACTACATCCCCCTGCTTCTTAAAGTTATCAACAAGTTCTACACTTACATAATTCATTTTTTAAATCTGTAACTCTGATGACCCTTGTTAAAGGAAAAAAGTGAGGACGTGTCAGCTCATATTTAGAACTTGCTTGTTAGAAGTCTAGATGAAGAGAGATGCCAACACACCAAGTGCAATCACTTGACTTTCCCATCCTAAGACCACAGCAAACCAGGATTTTTATCTGCTCTAAGTTGAGAGAGATAAGTTCCAATGGAAGAGCATAGCATTACTAATGAAATGATGGTGACTCGATACTTTCCAACTATTCTAAATTAAAATGAAGGCAAACAGATTCAAGTCCTTTAAATCATTCACATTATTTCAAAGCTCTGCCACCTGAGTCTGCACCCCTTAAGAGCAAAATGATTTATGCCAGCTCCAAGGATGCCATCAAGAAAAAGCTGACCGGGATCAAGCATGAGTTACAAGCAAACTGCTACGAGGAGGTCAAGAACCGCTGCACCTTGGCAGAGAAACCGGGGGGGGGGGGGGGGGGGGGGGGGGGGGGGGGGGAGGAGGGCAGTGCCGTCATCTCTCTGGAGGGCAAGCCTTTGTGAGCCCCCTCCAGCCCCCTGCCTGGAGCATTTGGCAGCCCCAGACCTGCCCATGGGGGTTGCAGGCTGCCCCCTTCCTGCCAGACTGGAGGGGCTGGGGGGATCCCAGCAGGGGGAGGGCAATCCCTTCACTCCAGTTGCCAAACAGCCCCCTCACCCCCTGGACCTTCCTCCTCCCTCTATCCCTGATGGTTTTGGCTTTCCCAAACCGCTTTTGATCTTCTGATTCCTCTTGGGTTGAAGCAGACCAAGTTCCCCCCAAGCACCCCAGTTTGGGGGGGGGGGCTGTATTTTTTTAACGACACCCCAGTTCCCCACCTGTTCCTCCCTTTTCCCATGCTGCCAACTTCTAACCGCAATAGTGACTCTGTGCTTGTCTGTTTAGTTCTGTGTATAAATAGAATGTTGTGGAGAAAAAAAAAAAAGGGCTGTGCCAGAGTAAGGCATATGTTACACACTCTATTAGCATGAACAACTTTCATCTATAATTTGTAGCATTTCATTTGTTTCTTTGCATCCAATGGACTGAAGTTATTAATTCAGTAGTCATAAATGCAAGGAGATACAACATATGTTATTTTCTTCCAGCTGCTAAGTGCTAACAGGGAAGGGAAAAATAACTTAACAGGGAAGTTTCTCTAAAAAGCAGACTATCCAAGCAAAGTTTACTAAGGTCCAAGTGGCTGTGCTGCCGTCAATGTGGGACCAACACGTACTCCATGTCAGCAGACAACCAATGACTCCTTATCACCTTTATGGTTTACCTTTCAATCCTTGCCAACCTCATGAATCCCCATCAATACTTCATTCAGCAGGGCCTTTAGCTCATTTGGTTTTGAGAAACTGTGTTGTTTTAAAAATCTATTCATTCAATAATTGCTATGTGCCAGACATTGTGCTATGTGCTGACAAAACAGAGAAATACAATTTTAAATAGGTCCCAGGACTTCAAAATCCCATCTCTTTTTAAGATCTTTTTACATCATACTCAATGGTGAAAGACTGAAAGCTTTCCCTCTAAGATCAGGAATGAGACAGGATGCCCACTTCCGCCACTTTTATTCAACATAGTATTGTAAGTTCTAGCCAGAGCAAAAGGTGAGAAAAAGAAATGAAGCATTCAAATTGGAAAGGGAGGGCAGCCCGGGTGGCTCAGCAGTTTAAGCACCACCTTCAGCCCAGGGCCTGATCCTGGGGACCTGGGATCGAGTCCCACGTCAGGCTCCCTACATGGAGCCTGCTTCTCCCTCTGCCTGTGTCTCTGCTTCTTTCTCTCACTCTCTCTCTCTCTCTCTCTCTCTCTCTCTCTCTTTCATGAATAAATAAAAAAAAATGGAAAGGGAGAAGTAAAATTATCTGTTTGCAGATGACATGATCTTATATATAGAAAACCCTAAAGATTACACATGCATATATGCACACAGAAATAATAAATGAATTCAGAAAAGTTGTAGGATACAAAATCAATACACAAAAATCAGTTTTTCTGGGATCCCTGGGTGGCGCAGCGGTTTGGCGCCTGCCTTTGGCCCAGGGCGCGATCCTGGAGACCCGGGATCGAATCCCACGTCAGGCTCCCGGTGCATGGAGCCTGCTTCTCCCTCTGCCTGTGTCTTTGCCTCTCTCTCTCTCTGTGACTATCATAAATAAATAAAAATTAAAAAAAAGAAAAAAATCAGTTTTTCTATATACTAACCATGAATTATCCAAAAAGAAAATTAAGAAAACAATTACATTTGTAATACCATCAAAAAGAATAAAATATGTAGGAATTAACTTAACCAAGGAGGCAAAAGACTATACACCAAAAACTACAAAATGTTGTTGAAAGAAATTAAAGAAGACACACATAAGTAGAAAGACATCCCATGTTCATGGATTAAAAGACTTTATATTTTTAAGATGTCAATACTACACAAAGTAATGTACAGATTCAATGCAATCTCTACCAAAATCCAAATGACTTTTTTTCCTTACAGAAATATAGAAATCTATCATAAAACTCATATGGAATCTAAAGGGACCCCAAATAACCAAAGCAATCTTGAGAAGGAAGAATAATGTTGGAGGTATCACACTTCCTGATGCCAAAACTTACAACAAAGCTATCAAAATAGTGCATAAAACAACAATGAAATACAATGAGATACCACTATACAACTATTAGAGTGGTCAAAATCCAAAATACTAACAACATCAAATGCTGGCAAGGATGTGGAGCAACAGAAACTCTTACTCATTGCTGATGGAAATACAAAAATACTTACTTCAGTATTTTTTTATTTATTTGAGAGAAAGAGAACACAAGCAGTGGGAGTGGCAGAGGGAGAGGGAGAAGCAGGCTCCCCACTGAGCAGGGAGCCAGATGTGGAGCTCGATCCCAGTACCCTGGGATCATGACCTTAGCTGAAGGCAGATGCTTAACAGACTGAGACACAAGTGCCCCAGTACACCCACTCTGGAAGACACTTTGGCAGTTCCTTTAAAAAGGAAACATACTCTTACCATATGATCCAGCAATTGTGTTCCTTGTATTTACCCAAATGAGTTGAAAACTTATATCCAAAAAAAAAAAATCTACACATGAATGTTTATAGCAGTTTTATTAATAATTGCCAAAACTCAGAAGCAACAAGATGTCTTTCAGTAGGTAAATGGATAGATAAACTATGGAGCATCCAGATATTGGAATATTATTCAGTGCTAAAAAGAAATGCGCTATTAAGCCAAGAAAAGACATGGAGGGATCTTAAATGCATATTTGTAAGTGAATGAAGCCCATTTGAAAAGGCTACATACTGTGTGATTCCAACTATATGACATTCTGGAAAAGGCAGAACTACAGAGCCAGTAAAAATATCCTTGGTTGCCACGGATAAAGATTGAGGAGGGAGGGACACCTGGGTGGCTCAGTGGTTGATTGCCTTTGGCTCAGGTTGTGATCCCGGGGTCTTGAGATTGAGTCCGGCATCAGGCTCCCTGCAGAGACCCTGGTCTGGGTCTGGATATCCAGCAACTTTTGTGTAATTAGGGGTGAAGGGCAGTCCTTGTAGGGCTTTCCTTAGGGGAGGTATCTGCAAATGCTGGTTTTATGAACCCATTGTCTAGCCTCCATTCTTCTGGTAATTGCACCCTTGCTTTGTCTCTGCCTCTCTCTCTGGGTCTCCCATGAATACATAAATAAAATATTTAAAAGAAAAAAAAAAAGAAAAAAGGAGTGAGGGAGGGACAAATAGGTGAAGCACAGAGGATTTTCAGGGTAGTGATAATACTCTATATAACGGTGAATACATATCA